CCATGTGTCAAGGACCCCCATGCCTCAGTCCCATGATGATGGCAAAGCTTTACCTGGATAAGGCTCAGAGGGATTGCAAAGCTTTCCTCCCAGACCTGAGTGCAAGCATGAAATCAGTGTGTACAAAAACTAGCAACTGCAGCTTCTTCCTCCCAGGTGATGGTAGCCTGAAACTGCTTGCCTACAGAGATCTTCTGCCTACACCAGCCAACCTCTCCCCTTGCTGTACATAATAAACACGCTGAGGTTCTGGGTTGCCATGGTAGTGGGTATCACTCCATCAGAGTACTCACACCCCACTGGATACCAGCTTTTCTGAACATGTGTCTATGTCTCTGTCCTTTCTTCATTCCCTTGCAGTCCCCAGTACAGGTTCCAGGACCCAGGTTCTCGTGAAGGTAGTTAGGGCCCAGAAACAAGAACTTAGGCTCCTCCAAAATCAACAACCTGAAATTTTATTAACTATTAATTAACCTTTAACTAGGACATTCCACTCTAGCCCATGGAAACTATTTTTCTTATCTGGATTCTGCAGATACTTTCTTTATTTCCCATCAGGCTTTCTGAATGAGGGCTAGCCCCAGTTCACCCCAGTTCATGAATGTTCAAATAGGCTCCCTAAAATTTTAATGTGCTTAGTGGTTTATTGTTTCTGTTTTAAAGCAAACAACTCCTAATTTTCATGAGCAAGTGCTGAAAAAAACCTGTGTTTTCCAGGAGGTAACAGGCACAGTGTGAAGCTAGTTTCCTGCGTTGGGACCCTAAACATAAGTGCCAAACAAGTCATCTGTGTTGAAGTGCTTTTCTAAAAGGAAGCAAATGTCAGCAAAAATAGGAAGAAGATGGCAGAAAGTACAACTCACTCATATATAAACTTGACTCAGAATGCTCACATGATGCCACTGAAGAGAATCAGGACTCTGGTGTTTAGATGTTTATTTGCATTGAAAACCCTAGGGGAATGATTGTGACTCTTAACTTCCATGCCCGTAGTAGTGTGACCTCTGTGTCAGAGCACGTATCACTGCCATAGAAAGTGACACAAGAGGAACTGAGAGAGTCACAGTTCTGGCAGCTATTGATGGACATCAAGGTTGAGTCTGTTTCCTTGATATTGTGAATACAGTTGTAGTGAACGTGGATGAGAATGTAAGTATATAGAGTCCTGTGGGTGTACACCCAGTAGTTGTATGACAGGGATGCATGGTAATTCTGTTTAGCTCTTTGAGAAAACTCTGTGCTGGTTTTCACAGTGGCTGCTATAACATACACTCATACACACACACACACACACACACACACACACACACACAGTGAGTGTATATGGTTTCCTTTTTCCCCATATCCTCATCAGCATTTGTTTTTCTGATGGCAGCAATTCTGATAAGAATTGGAAGGTCAAAATAGTTTTAGCTGTGTTTCCCTGGTAACTAAATGTGTTTAAAGTCTTCAGAAGTATTCACTGACTGCTCATCTCACTTTCTTGAAAACTCATCTTCAGCAACTTAGTCCATTTCTTAAGAATTGTTTTCTTGTTTAGCTTTTGAGTTCTTTATGTATTCTGGGTATTAATTCTCTACCTCCCATTCTGAAGGTAGTCTTCACTTTCTTCTCCAGCAGTTTCAGACACTTATGCTAAGTCTCCCATGCTCCATTTGGAGTTGATTTTTGTGTAGGGTCAAAGAAAAGGATCCAGTGTCTCCTTCCTACATGAAGATATCAGGTGTCCCCAGCACTATCAATATCTATGCTTTGGGCATCTTTGCCAAAAGTCAGGTGGTTATAGCTGCATGGGCTTATGTCTGGGTACTTTATTTCATTTGTGGATCTACCTATGGGGGGGGCAATACTACTCTGTCCTTTGTAGTATAACTTGAAATTAGGTACGGTGATACTTTCAGCATTACTGGTTTTGCTAAGGATTACATTAGCTATCTGAGGTCTTTTGTGCTTCTAAATTATTCAGATTTTTCCAATTTCTGTGATGATTGATGTTGGCATTTTGATGGTGACTGCAGTGAATCTGTATGGATTCATTCAGTAAGATGACCATTTCACGCTGTTAACTTTTCCAAGCCATGAGCCTGGGAGAGGAGGTTTATTGACCTGCTACTGTCTTCTTCAATTTCTCTCTTGAGTGTTTTAAAGTTTTCAATAGAGAGATCATTCACTTCTTCAGTTGGGTTTATTCCAAGTCATTTTTGTAGGCAATTTGGAATAGGATTGTTTGCCTGGATTTCCCCTCAGCATGTTCTCTATTGGCAGATACGAATGATAGATCAGTATGTATCCTTCGCATACAAATGGACTTTGGCTGTCCATCCCACAAGAGAGATGCTCTCTCAGCCTGGACTCTTGTGGCAGGGCCTAGGCCCTGCCATGGATGAAACGACAGAGTATGGACACACCCCTGGGGAAAGGAGTGGGGATTGGGGGAGGTGGGAGTTAGTGGGAGGGCATGGGAGGAGGGGAAGGAGAGGGAGCTGGGATTGACATGTGACGCAACCTTGTTTCTAATTTAAATTTAAAAATTAAAAAAAGACAAAAATGTAATTAACAAAAAAGAATAAAAAATGAAAATTACTAAAAAAATAAATAAAAATGTTGCTGAGTTTTCTGAGTTAATTGTTTAAACTGACACTTTGTTGAAAGTTTGCACAAGCTCTTGGAATTTCCAGGGGCTGAAGAGATGGCTCAGTGGTTAAGAACACTAGATGCTCTTCTAGAGGACCCAGGTTCGATTTCCATAACCCACGCGGCAGCTCACAACTGTCTATAACTGCTTTCCCAGGGAATCCAACACTCTCTTTCAGCCTCAGCAGGCACCAGGCATGCACTTGGTACAAAGACATACATGCAGGCAAAACACTCATACACTTACAAATAAATGAAGAAGTTCAAAAAAGAATATTCCAGGGGAGTCTTTAGGATCTCTTTCATACAGAATCAAATCGTCTTCAAATAACAATACTTTGACTTCTTCCTTTCATATGTATATCTTTTCTATTTGCTTGTCTTCTATTGCTTTAGGTAGTATTTTCAACACTACATTGATAAGCTGGAGCAAATGAACACCTTCAATTATATTCCTGATTTTAGTGCAAATATTTTGTTTTTTCCCATAAAACTATTAATATTCCCATGCATAATATTAATTTTACACTCACCAGATATAGGCTTTATTATGTTCATATATGTTTCTTTTATTTTGTGTTTCTTCAGGATTTTTATTATGAAGGGTTCAAAATTTTTGTCAAAAAGCCCTTTTTGCATTTATCAAGACCATAGGATTGTGTCCTTGAGTTCATTTTTATAATGTGTTATAGCTATTGATTTACATATATTGAACCATTCGTTTGCTTTCTGTTGCTGTGATAAAGCACTGACCAAAAGCAATTTGGGAAAAAGAGAGTTTATTTCAGTTCTTTAGTTACATAGTTACATCGTCAAGATAAGCCAGAGCTGGAGTTCAAAGCAGTTCTTGGAGGCAGGAACTGAAGCAGAAACTACAGGAGATGCTGCTTACCGATTGCTCCCCATGGCTGACTAAGGGTACTTTCTTATACAATCTGGGACCACTTGTTCAGTGGTAGCATGTCCCATAGTGCTCTGGGTCCACCCAACTCAATCCTTAATTAAGAAACTGTCCCACAGCCGGCCGGTGGTGGCGCACACCTTTAATCCCAGCACTCGGGAGGCAGAGGCAGGCGGATCTCTGTGAGTTCGAGGCCGGGCTGGACTGACAGCCTCTAAAACAATACAGAGAAACCCTGTCTCGTAAAAACCAAAAAAAAAAAAAAAAAAAAAAAAAACTGTCCCACAGAGAAGTTCACAGGCCTATCTAATGGAGACAATTCCTCAACTGTAGTTCCTTCTTTCCAGGTGATTGTAGTTTCTATCATGTTGACACAAACTAACCAGCCACTATTCCCACATTTCTGGAACAAAAGTGCTTAATAATGATAAATGATCTTCCTGATGTTTTCTTGTATTCTGTTTCCAAGGATTTTGTTGAGGATTTTTGTTGTTGTTTTTTGTTTTTGTTTTTGTTTTAGCATCTGTGTTCATCTATGATAAAGGGGATTGATCTATAATCTTCTTTTTTGTATTGTTTTCTGTCTTTATCTTATTTTGGTATCAAGATAATGCTAGCTCTAAGAAAAAGTCTGACAGAATTCCATCCCTTTTTATTTATGTATTAGTCTGAAAACAAGGGTGTTTCAATTCTTTGAGGGTCTGGAAGAACTCAGCAGTAGCTTTCTGACTCCTATTCATAATTTAGTGTACATCACACTTTCCATATCTACTATGTTTGATGGACATCAGATCTGTCATTTGCTGTTACAAATGTAGCTACAGAGAGCATCCAATTCATTCTCCTTTCATGGACTTGTGTGATAACATCACTGGGATATGTCCTAGAGTGGACCTTCTGGAATCCAGGACACATTACTGACAGAGGATATTACCAGGGTGTGTCCTGGCTTAACCTTATCACTATCATGATACCTACTCCTGACTTCCCCTGGGAAGATTAACTTCCTGACAGGAAACTGATTTTTCTGTTTATTAACTTACTGATTTATTTTATCTGACTTGCAGCAATTGTGTGTGTGTGTGTGTATAATCTGTGTGTGTAAACTGTGGTGCTCACGGTGAGGTCAGAGGACAACCTGCTGGACTCAGTTCTCTTCTTCCACCACATGCATTCCAGGAAGCAAACTCAAGGGTTAGGCATGGCATCAAGCACCTTCACATACTGAGTCAATTTCCAGAATTATTTTTACCTGTCCCTTTTCATTTCCTGTTGAGTTCTGACATTTTATTTCAGTCTCACAAGAGTTATTCAACGTAAGTGTATAACTTCTACTCTATCCCACTAGTTAAAGCATTGCTTTTCCTTTTCACTGGTCATCACCACTTTCTCATCAAGTCAAAAACAATCACAAGTACTGGGACAACTGGATGTTTGCATATTAAAGATCACATTGGGCTCTTACTTCACACCCTATTTAAAATTTAATTCAAACTGAATCATTGATATAAATATAAAAGACACAAACCTTAAAAGCCTTGGAGGGAAACAGGGGCAGTTCTTTGTAACCTTGCATTTGACTGTGGGATTCTTAGCTGATACACAGATAGCCTGAGTGACAAAAACAATAGGAAACGAATAGAACTTCATTGAAAATAAATCTGTGTGCATCCAAGGCATTAAAAGAAAGCAAAGACACAATATATATAAAATGTCCAGAATAAGTAAATCTACAGACACAGAGAGCTTGATGATTACACAGACAGAAGAAGGAAGAATGGAGAGGAATTGCTTGATGGTGACACAATGTGACTGAATGGGGATGATGATATATAATGACATTTCACTCATAGATGCTGATGCTTACCCATAAATTATAGATTTTGTTACAAGGATAATGGCAATAAAAACAAAAAAGAGTCAAAATAGTAAATACTATCCAATCATTAATAAAACTTATGGCACTCTTTTAAATATTTCTTTATTTTTAAATGTATATGTGTGCGTCTGAGTGAGGATACATGTACCACATGCATACAGGAGCCAGTAGATGCCAAAGCATCTGCATCATCTCTCCAGCCCCATTATGGCACTCTTACACAGTGAAATCACTTATAACCACCGGTAAGTGGCACAGTATAGCCTACATAGCATAATAAAATATAACCCTGATCCTTAGTGACCTTGGTGTCTAGTTGGGTGATTATCCAAGATGCAGACGGTCAACAGAAAAGGAACCGCTCTAAGTGGTACAATTAAATTTCAAAGTGCACACATGGTTGGTGAGAAAAAGAATTTATATTTTAAATATCTTTTAAGGACTTCATAGAATTTAAGTATAATAGATAGTGATAGAAAAACACAATAGTCTACAGAAGCATGTCTTCTACATATGGTAGTTAAAGCTAGCTGTTGAAAGCAGATCTAAATGTCAACTGTTAGAAGACCACAGTGTCTGCACCTGTCCCCAAGCCTAACACAGTGTTGCACTCATTTCTGGTGAGTAGTAAACAACGAGGCAAAATAAAGTTAAACTGTGCATTAAGGACAATACTAAGAAGACTGCAGTAGCTGTTATCATCCACAGAAGAATTTACTACCATTAAAGCAGGTTAAGTCAAGTGATGGCAAGAGTTAGGGAGCCAGAAAAACACAGTATATATGGCTGGCATGGCTTATCTGTACAGGAGAGGGGGTGTTTATTTAGGACCATGTTAGAGAAATTTGTAGGTAATCTTGTGAGATTTGTGTGCCTCCTTTGTTGTTTACACAACAGAAAGCCAAACCACTCTGTGGTCCTGAGACCTGGCAAAGGGCACAGATGATTGACAGGATATGGGGAGATGAATATGGGCATCATAAGATCAAGCTGCCTGGAGGAAAATGCCCTCATCTTGGAACATGGTGTCCCCCACATGCCCCTCCTCACAGAGCTGTAGGAGTGGTGGGAATTCTGAAGAGACCGTTGTTTCCTACATAGTAAATGTGCCTTTATGGGGATGAGAACCTGCCGCAGAAGAGGAGGCTATTGGTTTTGTTGTGCCTGATGAAGAAAAGGAAGGGGTGGTCTGCACAGAACGTTGGGACTTCAGATGCGCAGCAAAATTCAACGACAGCTGATGCTGCTGCAGCCTCGGTGCCTTCTTCGTTGACCTCCACAATACTCTTGTGAACACACTTGGACAGACACAGGTCTCTCTCTGGAGACATTCCTGATAAGTCAGCCTTGCCCCCATGGAAAACATCCACCATTCCCAAGCATTGAAGCACGGACTCCATGTCATAATCCTCTTGCAGTTTAAACTTTGGAAGGAAAACCTCAACCTCAGTACTCTTCATAAAGTCTGGTCTGGTCCAGGCTGTTAACTTCTCAAAAGTGAGATTGTTTTCCACCTGACAAAGCAGAGTCAGAGACTTTCAGGTTCACAGTCGAGGTCTCGCCCAGAGCCTCATAGCCACTTCCTGCTCACAGTACCCTCATCATCCTACAGGGGGCACTGTCTGTTCATATGGCCAGCCAGTGTGAAGTCTCATTGTTCTGCTAGCTTGTATATGGTTTCCCTGGTGGGTATGGAGACCAAGCAATTCAGGGTTAGGGAGACCTGGTCGTCTTCTCCTAAATCCCTTCTGAGACATCGGTTACTCTGACAGGTGTTAATGTCCAGGTGATTATGGTTTGGGTTGTGTTTGCTTTTTTTTTTTTTTTTTAACTAGACCTAGTTTGAAGACAATAAACCATAGATGCTAAAAACAACAACAACAACAACAAACCCATAAAAATTGGAAAGGACTCTTGGTGTGAGTCACACTAGAAGGGAGGGCTATCCAGGCTGGGATTCTATGTTTTTCTGTGGGCTGTTAACGGCTTGAATGTAAATTCGCCCTTATTCTGAGGCTGGTAGCAACATTTTAGGAAGCAGCTATAATTTAGGAATGAGGGGCTCTAGCTGAATGAAGGAAGGACCTATGAAGGTCATTCTTGATACTTTGTCCCATCTCTTTTCTCTGCTTCCTGTTTGCTAAAAGGTCTATAGTTTCTGCCACATGCACCTGTCACCATGGAAATCATTGATGGGCCAGGTAACTTGAAATGAGCGCTCTGAATCTGTGAGCCAATGTAAATCCCTCCTCTCCTACATTATTCATGCCAGGCACTTTGTCAGTGATGAAAAACCAACTAACACTAGAGAAGCCATTCCAGTTAGGGAACTGGATGGGAAGAGACAGGGAAGCTGTTTGGCTTACAAAGACCCCTTAGGTCATGTACACTCTAGTGGCCTCAATTCAGAAGATGGTTGGCACACTGTGGGGTAATCTACTGCAAGGAAGAACAAGATTTGTCATAATGATGTCCCTGACTCTGTCCTCTTTCATTTTGTTAAGTCCAAGTGCAAGATTTCTTCTGTCAATTTTGTGTTCTTAGCGGAGACTATGTTCTAAGCACTGTGCTAAGTTTACTACCTGAGTTGTCTTCTTTCATCCTATCAGGTACCATCTCCCATTCCTGTGATAAACTTATGTCATATGTCAAGGTCATACACCCCACAATGGGAGTCTTAGACATAGTTTTGATCCTAAAACATAGGGATTGAACACAGCTAGAGGCTCAGTCTGTGAGTAGGACCCTCTCAAATGGCAGTTGGAAAGGTAAAAATATTGAGTTCTGTTCTAATGACGGAGGACAATGGAGACAATGGATTCTTTTAGTAGATATTTAGAGTAATGATTGCTGAGAATTCTCCTGCCTCACCTTGCTGAGGTCCACACCATCATCTGGGAGCAGGACCACCATGCTCAGCTCCATGTCCTCATAGGGCATCACCAGCACCTGTGCCTGTATTTCATCCACATAGGCGAGGTTAAAAGTGTCCTCCTGACACATCATCTGCACTGGCCGTTTCTCCTTCTGAACAAATGAATCCAGAACATAAGAAGATGTTACTGAAAAAAGAGCTGCAGTTAATGCTAGGAGTGTTTTCATCATTCACAATGAAAACACAACTATTCATGGTCCAGTGGACACTTAGTCAATGTTTGTCAGTCTCTTCCTGCTTCCATTTAAAAAAATAGATGAGTGTAACCAGATGTGGGACTGTTGTAGTTAGGGTTTCTATAGTTGTGACAAAATCCCATGACCAAAAGCACCATAGGGAAGAAAGAGGTTATGTCACTTTACAACTTTCAGGTCACATTCAATCATGAGGGAAGTCGGAGCAGGAACTCAGGCACAAGCCATGGAGGCATGCTACTTCCTGGCTTGTTCCCCATGGATTTCTCACCCTGCTCTCTTACACAGCTCATGACCACCTGCCCAGGGTTGGCACCACCCACAGTGGGCAGGGTTCACAGCAATCAATATTGAAGAAAATGATCAACAGACTTGACTCTAGGCCAGTTCTGTGGAAGCAATTTTTCAACGTAGAGCCCTTCTTCTCTAGCTTGTGTCAAGTTCACACACACGCGCACACACAGACACAGACACAGACACAGACACACACACACACACACACACACACACACACACACACACACACACCCCAAACAAACAAAGCCCCCAACCAGGACAAGGACTAACTACAGAAAGATGATGCATTACCCAGGAAAAGGAATGTGGCATTCAAATATTACTATCTTTTTTGTTGTTGTTTTTTCACACAGAGTTTCTCTGTATTGTTTTGGAAGCTGTCCTTGAACTCGAAATGTAGACCAGGCTGGCCTTGGACTCACAGAGATCTGCCTGCCTCTGCCTCCCAAGTGCTGGGATTAAAGGCATGTACCATCAACGCCCAGCCAAATATCAATAATTTAAAGTCCAACTTAGTTTTAAAATATTCCACAAAGGCTCACGTTCCAAAGCCTTTCTCCACAGATTGGCACTAATGAGATCTCACTGGACCTTTAGAAGGTATTGTCTAATGGGAGAAAGTTAAGTGTTGGAGAGTGTGTGCCCCTGAAGGGGATTTTGACTCTATAGTCCTTTCCAGTTTCTCTGTTTTGCTTTTTGACTGCTGTGAGATGAACAAGCCTCCACCATGCATTTTCACCATGCTCCACCACAACCTGGAGTGACTGGGCCAACTGACCCAGCTGAAATTTTTGGAATTTTTGGAATCATGAGCCAAAATAAACATTCCTCCTTTTATGTTGACTGTCTCAGATAGCTTGTTACACTAATGTAAAGATGGTCATCATATCAGTTGTAGGATTTTGGTCATTTAATATTGTCAACCATCATATCTAAGGAAACAGCATAATGAACTATAAATAGCAGAAAATTTTCTTCAAGTAGACTGGATGCTTTCACAGTGGTGTGGACAGGACTGCAGACAGACTCATCCTCTCAGGAAACAGTCTGGCAGCAGGAGCACACATGCGCAAAGGTTCACTGTGGGTCACAACCTTCTAACCCATCACAGAGAAGAGAGCTCTAGAACACACACACTCACAGGCTTATGTGGAGCTCCATCCTAACAGCCAGTCAGAAAGAAGGACAATCCCAGTTAAATTACAAGTTGGGGAATATCTAGATAGATCTCCATGTATCTCTGTGATGCAATTAGTCTCATGACCCAACACGTAGCAGAAAATTCTTTTCAACCAATTAAAAGTTAAGGGCCATCTAGACAGAACCTCATGAATTTTCCTGTGATTTAATCCAGTTGGTTCAGTTCCCATAGTCCAACAATCTTTTTTTAAATACAGAAGTGTACCATCAGGGAAGATTTTAATTACAGTAGTATGCTAAAAATAAAAATTTGCTACAGACCATGTATAATACATATTAAATTTCCCAATAAAAGAATTTGTTCTCTTGCAAAGCTTTACAATTATTACTAATAAAAAGGAAATGGGGGAATTTAACATTCATAAGGCTCCAAAATGTATTAAAGTATATTTTATAAGGATTGGGAAAAGTATTCTAGTATCTACTTTAATTCAAATTATGTTCCAATTAAGATTGAGATCTTAATCAATAGGTTTCAACATAAGAAAGCAATACATACTTCTTAATAATGATAAATTGTCCAATAATTTAAAATACTTAATTTAATTTAAAAATAGTCTACTAAATAAATGTTTATATGTTTGTTTCTACTCTGCCTTGTACTCTATATATGTATTATACTACTTTAACACATAACTTTCTGTTTTCTTGAACTTAAAGGAAAATTTAGTTTCTAGAATGAAGTAGGAGCAATGATTTTACAAGGAATTATCAGGACACGTAAAAGCCACAAACAAATGTAAAATAACACAGATATTAAATACTCTTTATTCCTACAATTTTTTTCCTATGGGGATGAACCCTTCATTCAGAATTGTAAGTCTCAGATGGTTTTCTGAGCTTTCCTGCTTTTTCTCTTTTTTTCCCCCTGGGCTGAGGATCAAGCCCTGTGCCGCACACAGGATATGCAATCTCTGCCACTGAGTCTCACTCAAGATTACACATTTCCATGAAAGATCTTCATCACACTGGTAGCATGAATTTGCATCCTGTTCCTTACCTTGTTAATTTTAAAGGGCATTTCCGCTGTGCAATCTTTGTTAAATTGTTGATGCCACTTTCCTTTGAAATATAAGGCATTGACAAGAACCAGCCTGGTCTCTGAATCAATGGAGCCTCCTGACAGCAACTCTGGAATTTTCCCTTTTGAGGAAGCAGAGACTTCATTCAGGATCATTTTATACATGTGTGAGAAAAAAGCTGACATCTGGGTAGATCCAAGCATCATGTTTTCAAATTTGCTGAATATGGATAAAAATATTAAACCTAATCAAAGTAAGACACCAACACCCGTGTTTGCCTTAAGGTCGTTGACACTGGAGGGGCAAACACAAGGAGAGGAGAGTGAAAGACTCCCGAGTCTCTCAAGGAAAGCAGGTTTGGGAAAAGCACAAAAAGTGACTCCAAGATGGAGAACAAAGAAGCAGGAAATGTGGAAAGCTCCCAGGGAACCACAGCTCCTCCCTGGCTGCTAATGCTGGTTGCCATCTTGATTGGGTCTGGAATCAACCAAGAAACATGTCTCTGGGCAGGACCGTGAGGGTATTTCCCAGATACAATAACTAATGGAGAGGATGCTCCCCAGAGTGGGCAATTCCTTCCTGTGCTCCCTGATACAAAGGACTGACAGAGAGGCAGCTTTGCTTTTGCCCCTCGTCTTTCTTTAGTCCTTGCTGGTGAGTGCATCTGCACCTGCCAATTTCAGCTGACACTGGAACCCAGTAGCCTTGGCTTTCACGTGGACTGAGACTAGCAGCTCTCTGGAATCCTCTAGGCTCTCCATGCCAGGCTGAGATTGCTGAGGTCTCCAGTCTCATAGACTGGGCAGCTACCAGAGTCTCAGCCTCTCCACCTATAAGTGGTCACTGTGGGACTACTCAGTCTGTACTGTGTATGCCAATCTATTAAATCCCCTTAGTAATATCTATTAATTGTGCTCTAATACCCTAATGTTTAATACAACATCTCATCTAGCACTCCATCACCATGCCCAGTTCTAACACAGCACAACACATCAAAGGCTCAAAGGCAGAAAGTGGTTTGTGGAGGAGGTATGGTTATTATATACTTTGGAGTGCTGTCCATCCCTGGAAGAGATGATGCAGGTCAGAGGACAGATTCCCTTATTCTACATTAAAGAGAATCCTTCCAATGGAGAACAGAACCCTTCCTAACTATCAATATCACAAGTACACAAAAGGTAAAGACTCCAACAAGAATTGACAAATAATTGCTTAGTCTTTAAGAAAAGACTCTCATTATACACAATCTCTCTCTCTCTGTTAGCAGAAATTGGAATGTGTCTAGTGGTACAGAGACATCTGAAGTGTTCAAACATCAGACAATGATCCCAATAATCCCCAAGACCAATCCTGGAACATGTCATCTCTGAGATAAAAACAAATAAGGTTCAACCACAAATGGGAGGCTCTTTTAGGCCAATATAACTGAGCCACCCTGACAGTGTCTTCAATGGAAATCATGTCTAGTTTCACCAAATGTAAGTAAGGGGTCTGGGGTAGGAATGTGGAAGCAGAAACAGGAGTCCTCTTTAGAGTAAAGGTGGTGAAAGCTGAGGCAACACAGACTGTTTGAAGAAGCAGCCCCAGGGCAAGACTGCAGGGAAAGTCTCCAAGTGAATCTTGGCCTCAGAGATGGTAGAGTCACCTGACCCTGGTACCCTACAGACCACCCTTTTATCTAATGTTAAAAACAAACAAACAAAAAACTTGTTAGACTGGAAACTGGGCTCATGAGTTTTCATGAAGTTTATATCAGTTCCTCTGTCCTGAGGAAATACACAAACAACTGTTTTTAAAATCTAAGTGTCTGAGTAGAGTCTCCATGAACTCCCTGAGGTCTGAATTGTACCATGCAGTCTAGCAAGTCTGCATCACTTTGACTCTCTGAAATGATATGAGATCAGTCAGTAGGGGGAAAAGGAGAAGTTAAGAGGAAGAGGAGGGAAGGAAGAAGAGGGAGGGAGTGATGGAAAGGATAAGAATGTGGGGGTGTGAAATAACGTGAAATTCTGACCTTCAGTCTGTTTGGAGACCCACGTGTTTATGTGTTTCCTGGACTCCTCTGGAGCTTTGGCAAAGGACAGCTGCTCCATCTCCGAGTGATAGAACTGAAGACAGGACTCCTTAAAGGTCTTTGGAGAGAAAAATGTTCAGGGAAGTAATATTGCAAAATAAAGTGTCAGCAAGTTTCCTGCTTGTCTGATACTATGTCATTAAAAAACTAAACTAAACTAAAATTAGTGTAGATGCCACTTTAAGCAACAACATCTTTGTGTACTAGGCCTTTGTAGCTAGGAATAACTGGACATGAATAAATAAAAACAAATATTTCAAAGTATCATTATAGAATTGTGGGAAGCTTAAGGAATTATGAAGTTGAGTCTCACTATTTGGCCTAGGCCGTCCTAGAACTTGTGACCTTCCTGTCTCAACTTTCCAAATGCAGACATTATAGATGTGTACCACCACACCGGCTAGAACTTTGATCTTAATTTTCTCAAGTTCTTTAGGGTTGTTCTCCTGGAATCTACAGCAAAAAATATTTTAAATACAATTGTTTTCATTCTACTGATACAACTTACTGGAATCAATTCACAGGTGTTTTCTGAAAAGATCCTGTTAGCTGTTCTAAGTGAATACTTTCTGTTGGGCTTGTTCAGGTTACTGAGAAGCTCCTGGAAGCCTTGATGAATATCTTCTTCTATGTTTAAACTAAGTGCCTATGAAGGAAAAGAATGAAACACCATGAGTTCAGTGATGAAGCATTTTGGTTGCATAAACGAATTTTCAAGCTGAAGAGATGGTTTTGGTAGCGAAGTACATGAGGCTCTGAGTTGGATCCTCAGTATGCACATGAAAGTTGGGTCCAATACTGTGTGGCTCTAATCCCAGCACTGGGATGAGAAGACACCTGCATTTACTGCTGTCCTCTGCCTAAAGAAACGCACATGGCCATGCACACTCATGCAAGCTCGCACACGTCCCATACACATACACAAGCTCTCTGTGTTTATTAGTGAACCTAAAACCTATAGAGACCATAAAGAGTAATTACGAAGAAGCCTTTTCCGTGTGTTCATCTTCACTCACTCCCTGTTTGGAAATTATAAGAATATACAATTATACATGAAAGGGTCTTCATGAGAGAAAGAAAGTCCTGGCAAACCCCAGAGCAACAGCGACCACTATTTCCAACTGTGACATATATGCAAAGGGCTATTTCTCAGGTGAATGCCTCCTGCCTGTCCTGGAACCCCTGAAGTCAGAGACCTATTTTAAAATTTCATTTTACATTCCAACCAAAGTTCTCCTTCCTATCCCTCCTCCAACCCACCCTTCACCTGCTCCCCCAGCCCACCCCTCATCCACTCTTCCCAACAGGTAAGGGCTACTACCATGGGGAGTCAACAAAGTCTGGCATATTATGTTGGGGAAGGACCAAACCCCTCCCCACTGAGCTAAGGCTGAGCATGGCAACCCCTCATAGGGAATGGGAGAGACTCATTCTTAATCATCTGCAATGTTCATAGGAGGTTCCAGAAATTAACCACTGCAGTGCCCAGGCAGGATGTGGACTAGCTACACACATTTAACCCTCTTTAATATCTTAGCTGACACAGGCAGGTCGGACACAATTGAGAGCAGGAATTAACCTTCCTTGCCAATGGATAACGACCAAGTCTGCTGCTGTAAAAATAAGATAGATTTAGCAACCTGTGTTTCAAATAATTTCAGCTCCCTTTTCCCTTTGCTGTACTTGCGGCTGAGCCTAAGCTTTAATCCTAACATCTTCCTGCCATCTTTAAAAAATAATGATTTTTTATATGAAACTAAGTTGCCCAGGCTACTCTTGAATTGGCATCCTCCTGACTTAAGACTCCTTAGCAGCTGGAATTAAAGGCCTGTGGCTCCAGGCCTAGCATGAAATTATTTGTGCACCTTTTTTTGTTTTGTTTTTTTTACGAGACAGGGTTTCTCTGTATTGTTTTGGAGGCTGTCGGACCAGCCCAACCTGGAACTCACAGAGATCCACCTGTCTCTGCCTCCCGAGTGCTGGGATTAAAGGCGTGTGCCACCACCGCCTGGTTTATGAACCATTTTTGAAGTGAAGTTTGGACAAAATTTTGAGAGTTCCCTCTGAGTTATTACTGAGGAAAACTCATGTCCCTTCCTCTTTAGCCCCTGGCCCATGAAACAGTGTATGCGTATTCCTACCCTCCCTTCTCAGCAGCATTTAGGCAAGGGAAGCAGCTGTGGGGTGACAGACAACTTACCTGAGTTATCTGGACTGCAGTGTCTCCCTTTGCCCCCAAGAGGACCATAGCTAGAGCAGAGGAGATGCTCATAGGAGAATAACACACATTTCCCGAAGGGCTGTTTTCACATAGGATCTTTAAAAGACTGATGGCAAAGGAGCCATTTGCTTCACACAGAGTATTCATGATGCAGAGTCTGGAGGCAAAAGAGAATTGATACTCAACACAACACTGAAGGTTCATTGATCTGACTCAGTGAATCTGGGACTCTATCTACTCTTGGTTCTCATTTCAAAACTCCTAAGTACTTAAATTCGATTTTAAAAATTCATTTGTGGTCACAGACTGTCCAGTTTTAAGGTTTTATCTAAATGTGGCTATGGCAGCAGACCAAACTAGCTTTTGTGTCATCTGCATAGGAAAAAAAGATCAGATCATCAGGACTGCACACACAGGACACAGCTGAGAGAGGTGGACTCTAGTCTCCTTCTATACTGTCCATCTCCTGTCTCTGAAGATGGTGGAGTCAAGGATACAGAGAAGGAGGAAGAGAAGAGGAAGGGAAGGAGAAAACAGGCAGGAGCATCCGGGTCCTCCAGCCTGGCTTCAGCAAAGCTGCATTCTGTGTCTGCCTGCGAAGACTCTCTGAGATGTCCAGGTGTGCACTAGACAGTGCCTCCATGTTTGCAGTGGCTGCAGGAAAGACACTGAGATGCTGAATGAGATCCTAAGACAGGCTGGTGTCACCAGCTCTACTGTGCAGCAGGGAGCATCCCCCTGCAGTGGCTATTCAGGTGGCCTTGATCAGCCGATGGCACCCAGGCTCTTCTCTGTTGAGTATGCCTCACTGCAGATGAAGGGACAGCTTGGCCTAGACTAAGTGACTGCTCCAGGTACTATAACCCAAATCTGAGTCCCTGCACATCCTATGGTTGTGCACTCACTGTCATATGGCCTTTGAACACTGGAAGTGTGTTCCAGAGTGCTCTTTGCTGTGATAAAATGCAGATCAAATAGCCTAGGGGACCTCTGAATACCATGACTCCTCCTCATCTCTCCCCAGAGTGATGGACACAGCATCCTGAGACTGTATCTAGACCCTGTGACTCCTCCCCTTAAGTCCCCAAGGCTCTTCAGGAACACTGGGACTGCTTTATTTCAATGGCTTACCCTCTGGTTGGCCTTCTCATCTGAGTCAGTTTGCGACCCCTACACCTCTGCCCATCCTGGTATCTCTTGAAAACTGCTTCTATTCTTGAAGTGCTGTGTATTCCAACTAGAAGGTCATCTACCCCACCTCTGTCACTGAGTTCAAACTACTCACCCTTCTCTCCTTCACTAGGACAGGACAACCTCAGAGCCTCTGCTCTGCTGCTCGAGGGCAGCTGCCCCATTCCAGGTCTGCTCATCACTCCGAAGTGCACCCCTTTCTCTTACCGATTGTTTGTCCCCACCCCACGGTGCTTGGAGCTCTCTGAAGGCAAGGGAGATATCTGACACCCCAATTTTAAGCACCTGGAGGCATGCTCCGGATAAAGCGGCTTCTTGTCAACGCTGAGTGAATTACTTTATAAATAGAAACAAAGAGTGCTCAGTTTTGTACTAGAGACAGCCGATCGATCATTAAAGAGCCCTAAAGTTAGACACATTTTTCAGGTCCGTGAGCAGAGAGCAGAGGCAGTCAAATTGTCCAGGAGGTAGGACCCGAAAGGAAGCAGGAGCAGCACCAACTCTGGCTGAGGAGGGGCCAAGACAGGTCTAGGACACCAGCCCTAGGAGCAGCCTTGCTGCCATTGTCCAACTGGGGTTTCTAGAAGAATCGCCTTTTAAAATGTCCATCAGACACCAACTCTGTTTTTCTAGCGCTACAATCCTGAGGTTCCCTCCTGGACTCAGTCTGTACCTTGTAAACCGCACCTCTGTGGGTCCCCTAGCCCCAACCTGAGACAGTCACCCTCACTTACTACTTTCGAGGCTTCTCAATGCAGCATTTACAGACTGGATGTCCCCGGGGAAGTGGAGCTGATCAGCCTCCCAGAATGTGCTGGCCCTTTATTTACTGCAGGGCTGGGATTTCTTGTTCAGAGCCCTGGGTCAGTCAGGGGCGGGGAGACAAGCAGCAGTTGGCTCCCTCCACAAAGAGGATGGTTGGGGGTGGGGCTAGACCTGAAAGCGAAAGTATCAGGAAAAAAGCCTTAGCCTTGAGAATGCCAGATTCATTCCCCACCCCTCCTCTCCTGGGAAACACTAAAGCATTTTCTGCCTGTCTTCCCAGCCGTTGGCATTTCTTGTGAATGAAATGTGTAGTCCTGTGTGGTCCTCTTTTATGAACTTGACTTTTCCAAGGCTTAGCATTAAGGAAAGGTTTAAGGCATCAGTGACTGAGCATGGAGCACAGACTCAATGCCACCTACAGGGGCATGAGTTCTTTACAGAGCCCTTGACTCAGGTAAGACACAATTCTTGACTTTGCCACGGAAGGAATTTCAGGATGAGTCAATATGAAGTACAGTTGGATATATTAAGGAGCAAACACACATATATTTAAACGCGTAGTAATATACAACAGGAGGCTTCAGTAATATACACATGTGGCTTTGGTGACTCTCAAAAGTTACATCCTAAAATTTTGCTAAGCACCCCCTTTTTCCATTTTCATTTGTTTATTTATTTAAGAATAAGCTTTTAATACTACAATGAATGAAGCTATGGGGCCAAGACACAGAAACAGAACTTCAACACAGGAAGATGCCTTAGGGAAACAGGACCATTAGAGACTTCACAGACACACAAGAAGCTCACACTGTCTACAGCATCTTAGTTCTCCCCATGGCCAAGGTTTCATTTAGCTGAGCCTGAGAGCTCACTCAATTTCACACTCTGTGTGGTGCACTCAGTGCAGGAAGTCTTACTCTTACGCGCTCTCCTCCTGGCTTATGGATGGCAGCTTTTTACCTTTCTCCCAGAGGCTTCTTGGTGACATCAGCTGTAACTGTCTTTCTCATCTTGCTTGAGGGAAGGGTTGGCTTGGTCACATGCAGTATCTGCTTCCTCAGTCCCCCTGTGTTCTCCACCCTGAGGGGATTTCAGCCTTTCCTGTTCCTTTAGGTTTCTCTAGCTCCTCTGCTTTGACCAACAACTTCTGACCATCTCCTGTCTTAACTTGTATTCTTGGGGACACTTTTCACTTTGGTCCCACATCACAAATAGTTACCCCCCCACTTTGTTCTGTGTCCTCTGACACAGTGCCTCCTTCCAGCTCCGCTTCTCCCTTATCCTCACCCCTACCTCTTCTAGAGTCTTCCCTACAATTCTCCTCTTCATCTTCTAACAAGAGGCCGTGTTATTTTCTCTTCCTGGCTGGAATGCTCTGACCTTTTTTCCCTTTTCATTTTCTATATGTAGTTCTAGGTAGTTCTGTTAGAGGATGGGCTTGCCCTTTAAAACAAGGCTCCCTCTTAAGAGCACAGATTCCACAGATCTTTGCCATCTGTCTCATCTTTCTTAAGTGAATCACTGGCATCATCTTCACTGCACTTTCTGCTTGATGGCACATGGTTCTCACGCTTCTCCCACCCAGAGAATCCTTTGAAGACAAAATCTACCATAGTGTTTCTGTTTGGGGCTTTTAGCCGTCAGGAGGCAGGACTACAGCAACTTACCCTGCTACCCCCATAACAAAGATCTAGCTCTTGGGTTTTGTTCCCCCCCCCCCCCCGAGACAGGGTCTAGTTCTTATTTTTTGTACATGTGTGTGACTTTAGGGATGGCTTCCAGAGGAATTGTAATATGATACGATAAAAGCATGGATTACAAGGCTGTTAGACCTGCCTTGTATTGTAAATAGGGTTTCTTGTAAGATTCCTAGGAAGCTTCAGGATATATCTGCAAAAGAACAAAGACCGTGTATAAGGATTCAGGCATTATGCTGGCCTGCCCTGTCACCTGGCAGAATGCTCTCAGGCAGTACTCTGGTCAGCCCAGGGTTCCATGAGTACAGCCTGCATGCAGGTGCAAAGGACCCCTTTAAAAGACAGACCCCCTCCACTTAGGCTCTCTTGCTCTCTTTCTGTTCCTGTCTCCCTCTTCTCTTCTGTCCTTCCTCTGTGTCTCTTTATGCCTTTTCTCTTCCTTCCCCCTCCCTCTGCTTTCTAATAAAACATCTCATCCAAGCTCCATGTGCGTGGCGTGTTTGCCCCTTGTGGGCCATGGAATCCGCTATGGTCCTCCACGCAGGACCCCCCTTCCAGCTTTATCCTAGCTTCTGACGCAAATGAACAACAACAGCGTATACTTAGGCTGTAAACATGTTTGCTGTTTTTTTTTTTAAATTTTATTTTCCAGTTTAAATTTAGATAAGAATCAAGGTTGCTTCACAAGTCAGTTCCAGGTCCCTCTCCCATTCCCTCCCTTCCTCCCGTGCCCTCCCCCCCCCCTTATCCTCTCATTTCTCCAGGGAGGGTGAGGCCCTCCATGGGGGTGTCCATAGTGTGTCATTTCATATAGGGCAGTGCCTAGACCCTTTCCCAAGAGTTCTGGGTGAGAGTGCACCTCACATTGTTCTATTGGAGTCCAAAGTCCGAGTGTATACTTGGGATGGGTACTGATCTGCTGCCCAAGGCTCAATAGATTCCCTAGGCCTCTGCACTGACACCCAGATTCAGGGGGTCTTGATCAGTCCCATGCTGGCTTCCCAGGCTAATGCCTGGGATTCAAGAGTTAACCTTTGTCTGGTCAGCTGTTTTGGGGGGGTTAAACCAGCCCAGTCTTAATCCCTTTGATCATCAGTCCTCCCTCTCTGTTACTGGCTTTCTTGAGTTCAGCTCAGTACTTAACCAAGGGAGTCTGCCTCTTCTTCGATCAGCCACTAAATAAAGTTTCTGTTTCCCAGACTCTCTGGCCATAGGATTGTAGGCTGGCACTCCCCAGATCTATGTCTAAAATCCATATATGAGAGAGTACATGCCATGTTTCTCTTTTTGTGACTGGGTTACCTCACTCAGGATGGTTTCTTCTAGTGTCATCATGTTTGCTGTTTTAACATTATCATTTCACATATCTCTGTATAGAATGAGTGTTGTGCATATGTTGCCACCCTTCACAAGAAGTATTAACTGGGCTGAGAACACTCTTTAATCAGACGCGGGTGAAGGGCTTGATCCCTTTCTGAATCTTCTTAACTTTCTTGGTCTTTCTGTGCTATGTCAACACAGCATTTGCCATTCATTCATTTCTTTTCCTGGTTAAAGATATTATTAATAATATTGTCTATAATAAGGTTAGCATTAGCTTGCTTCTGTCTTTTATCTACTATTGAGTTTACAATGAACACTTAAATATAAATTTATGTGTAGATATATGATTTCTTGGAATTACCCTGGGTACAGTCCGAGGAAAGAAATTTCTGGGTCATATGGCAACTCTACAGCTAACATTTTGAAGAAATACCCAACAAGTTTGAAATCTTCTATGAAATTTTATGTCCCCACCAGCCAGGTATGAGTTTCAGTTTCTCCGTGTGTGGGTTGTCTTTTCTTATTTTAGCCAATGGGTGGGAAGTGGTTTTACTCATCATGGTTTTTGAGTTTTATTTCCCTGGTGAGTAATGATGTCAATCATAAGCTCATGTGCTCACTGGACATTTTTAGATCATCCTACAAGAATGCCTACTCAAATCCCTTTCCTGTTTTTATTTGGGCAGTCACCATGATCATGATCGTCATGTTGCCATTTAATTGCATGACACCAAATTAACAACTCTGTGTGTGTTCAGGTTAACTTCTATATCTTTGTGGTAAATTCTAAATCTTGCCAAGATTAAAGATTCTTACACCATATGGCACATGTCAGGTGACTATGACATATCTGTGAGATACGGTTAATGGAAAAATCCTCCTAGCCCTAGTCACAACCTTTGTCTGCCCCTTCCTAGACCTGTGTGACCTCTGTTAAGAGAACTTCCTTTCATGCCTTCATGCCTCTCACTTACGCTCCTTTAATCAGATACAATCATCAGGTCTTCATTGGTCCACTGCAGACTCTTTCTCAGGGTTCTCTGGTTCCAAACGCTGAAGATGTTCTTACTGTGGAGCATCGTTTTTCAAATTGTGTTCAGAGAGCACCATGTCCCAACCCACTTTTCTTTCTGTTCCTTCAGCTCAGAAGGAGAGCCCGAGTCTTTTCCTTCTGCAGCCTGCCTGTAGGTCTCTGTCCCTACTTCCATGTGGCCTGTGTGTTGGACTGTGTGTGCCTGTGTCTGCCTGTGTTCAGACTCTATGTATCACTGGGTGTCTTCTGGAGGCTGACTGCCCAGTGGCCTTTACATACAGTGAATAAATATGTCTTATTTGTTCATGGCTCCTCAGAAGTTTTTAACCTCGAAACCTCCTCTGACCCTCCTTCTGCCTGGAATCAGAATGTAAACCTCACAGTGGCAGGAGGCTGGCACAGGCTGGGAACTGCCCACCTTTGGTGACTGGAAACTGAGTATCTAATGTAAATACTATATGGGAAACAACACAGGAAAGTTTGACTTAATATATTTTAAGTGTAGGTTGGGATGTGAAGAATTAGTTTAACAAGCTACCAACTATGAATCCCAAATAAGAGTCATTAATGTACACTTTCACTGAAATGAATAAATAAATCAGACATTTGTAATGTTAGAATAGAGAGGCAGAGGCAAGTATATCTCTGTGAGTTCAAAGCCAGCCTGGTCTATAGATCAAGTTTCAGAAAGCCTGGACTACATAGTGAGACTCTATCACAAACAAGCAAACAAAGAAACAGCAATCTTGTCATCAACAGAGTCAGAGCCATGCTCTGACAGCCCTAACAAGCCAGGCTTGTCCATCTCTCCTTAAAAAGCAAACTAAAAGAGGCAAATTCATAATGAAAAGAAGACAACGAAGGATTAGTCAGTGTGGCCACACTGGCAAGAGGAACGGAGCTACCCAGTGACCTCACATGTCCATCGCTCAGATTCCTGACCTGAGTTTAAAAGTAGAAGACCTGAGTAGATGGAGCTACGCAGTCAAGGTGGGCCCTGCCAATCATTGTCCATCATTGCCTGATGCCATTCTGTCCTGCAAGGTGGTCACACAACTATCCA